GCTGGAGACTGTAGGCTTTGGATCTTCTCTACCTCTCTCATGGAAGCTGGGCCCCCCATATCAGACCATGTTCCTACTTATTGGCACCCTACATTCTACCAGTGACCAATAGCTGGGAGTACAGCCTCTGATCTTTTTCACTTGTCTGTTTCCCTCCTCTTCCCAGGATACTAATGCTCTCCCCTGCCACAGCGGTGTCCTGCAGCTTCCCATCATGGCTAAGCCTGTCTCAGGGTGGGAACCTCCTTCCACCTGGGAGTGTCCTGTTTCATAGACCTCTTATGATCCTGTTTAAAATGTCTATCACTCTCTTGTTTGTCCTATCTCTGCTGACCTTCTCCCATGTTTCTTCTCCACGCAGATGCCAGTGGCTCACAGTGAGCTGGTTTGAGACAGCATCTGCTCAAGATGTTCTAAGAATTTTTCATATTCTCCCCATGAATGAGGTTTTTGGGTTTTGTACTGACTGGTGCATTCATTTCTCCCATGCAAGAGGGGTCTCTCAGGTTTTGCACCCTATGACTGTCCATAGATGGAACATTCGTTTCTCAGACCTACAATGTTTTATTTATTTATTTACTTATTTATTTATTTATTTTATTGATGTTGTGCCTCTTGGACTACCAGGTCCAGTTGGTTTCACACATCCTTCTTTCTAACTCCCAGAGAAAAAAGCTAACAAAATAATATCTCAAAACTTTCTAACTTCTGCCATTTGGGAACGTGTTTATGGAGGCAGTCATCTTGACCACGTGACCTAGCTGTAGGCCGGCAAACTCCCTTCCCTCGACCTATGTAGAGGGACAGTCTAGCCCACTTCTGCTGACTTTTGCCTTTTATTTTTGTCTCTAATTTCTTCTTTCACTGGCCCCGTTGCACATGGCTTGTTCGCTTAATGGTATGCATCCCCACTCACCTGTTCCATCTTTAAATGTCCTGTCAGTTTGCTGCAGCATGAGAATCAGATCACACTCTGGTTCTTCTTAATTTTACTCAGTCCTGTTTAATATATCTATGCATGTACATAAATGTAGCTACTCTATGCAACTTTAAATTCAACTGTACTGTCTCAAATATTTCTAAATTGTTATATATCTTTATATTCCAGATTAACAAAATATTTATACCACCCAGTCCATGCTAATTTGTAGCCATACAAATTAATTACAGGAATAAAGCCTTACCTAACCACCTATGTGCTTAAGGCAAGTAACTAAAGACAAATTTTGTCTGCTAAGATATACTAAACAGATGAACAGCCCTCAAATGCTCAGAGATCTGGAGGATATGGCATTTAAAATGTTTTATTAAAAAGCTTTCCATAACAGAGACAGGCCAATTGCTGCCCCCACCCCATTTCCTCCAAGAAGACTGGTGGTCACTAAAGAAACTCCACCCACAAAAGTGGAAATGCAGGAGGGGAGAGGGAACTAGGAGAATGAGAGGGGGAGAAGATGAGGAGTGAGGAAGACACAATGAGCAGGGAGGCTGAGTTGGGGGAAGAACAGAAGAGAGCAAGATAAGAGATAATATAATAGAGGGAGACATTATCGGTTTAAGAGAAATCAGGCACCAGGGAAACATCTGGAGAGCTACAAAGATGATACCAACTAATAATCTAAGCAACAGAGGAGAGGCTACTTTAAATATCGCCTCCTGATAATGACATTGATGACTAATTCATATGCCATAGTATAATCTTCATCCAGCAGCTGGTGGAAGTAGAAGCAGACACCCACAGATAAACCTTTGAACTGAACTGAAATCCAGTTGCAGAGCAGGAGGACTGATGAGCATCGGGGTCCATAACAGGCTGATGAAACCCACAGAAACAGCTGACCTGAACAAGAGAGAGCTCTTGGTCCCCAGATGATAGCTGGGAAACCAGCATGAAACTAATCCAGACCCCCTGAATGTGGGTGTCAGTGAGGAGACCTTGGAAATCTATGGGGCCGCTTGTAGTGGATCAGTGATTATCCCTAGCATAGGAATGGACTTTGGGAGCCCATCCCACATGGAGGGATAATCCCTGAACTTAGACACAAGGGGGTTGGCCTAGGCCCTATCCCAAAGGATATGACAGACTTTGAAGACCCCCTATGGAAAGTGTCACCCTGCCTGGGGAGCAGAAAGGGCATAGGATAGGTGTTAGTTGGGGGGAGGGGTAGGGGAGGAGGGGATGAAGAGGGACCTTGGATTACCATGTAAAATAATCTTCTTTCTACTAAAAAATAAAAAAGTGGAAATGCTGGCCACTGAGCAACCCTGCCTTTCACCTCAACTACTACAAAGGACTCTTCAAACATGAGGACAATGGAATCAATTTTCTCCACGTTGCTTGGGCCAACGGTAAGCAAGTCTTCCTAAAGAACCTAATCCACATGTCTCATGCTATAAGCAGAAGGCAGGTGTCCTTAAAGCCTCTGACCTCAACAATTGTGGAGGACCTGAGCGTGGCTGTACATGCAGCCATCTAGTAAGTCTCTGTTATTCTTTAATCATTAACTCAGGTAAAATTTTATCCTTCTCAAGAACTCTGATGCTTTTGACTACTGGTAGCTTTGCCAGCTTAAAGTAACAGCCAAAGCTCCAACTGTCACAATACAGATTTCAGGGTTTATCTATGTAAAGATAGGAAAGGGTAAGGTGTATGATGGTCTGGATATGTGAATTAGAAAGGTCTGAGGATGGAAAGGTCTAACAAGGTGAATGAATGCAAGGTATGAAGGTCTGAGATAGTAAGGTCTAACATGGTAATGTAAGGTGTATGAATTAAAGTTATGAAGGTCTGACCATAAAGAGGCTTAAATGATGACAAATAAAATGAGTTGAGACATTCAAAAGAATGAAATGTTTCAGATTTCTCTCTTTCATTATGCTACTGTTCATAGTCTTAACATTCATCAATAAAGTTTTAATAAGCTACTAATCCAACACTGACAGAGTACCAAACTATACCACTATAGGATCATAACTGCAAGGCCAAGATTAAGGTATTTTTCATTGCCCTAAAGATATCTGTCAGTTTTTAAAATGTTAAAGCTTTCAGCCAAAACTCTAATAGGTGTACTAAACAACATGCTATATCACTGTACAATAACTACAAGGTAAAAATTAACGTGGTTTTCATTGTCATAAGGACATCTGTCAGTTTAAAAATGTTAATGTTTTCAGACAAATCATTTCTAACATAAATATGCTGCTAATGTGTCTAATACTTATGTTTTCACAAACTCAAGTGAGTTCCTCTGACATTAGACACTAAGCTCTGTGAGATGGTATTGAATGAACTTGCTCAGTAGGGATCTCAAAGATCACAGATGCACGTGGCTGATATAAACCAAGAGCAGAGAACTAGGTAGAGGCTGAAATTGGATAGTTCATAGAGGTGCAGCAATGACCCACTAAACATGAGTTGTGAAAGCAGGTGATAGTGCAGTGTAGAAGACGGGTCATCGCCATTGACTTAGGAAATGAAGCAGTTCTGAGTAATCACTTGAGTTTAATTATATGTTAACAGCAGGAAATATGAAAATGTGAAAACATGTGAGGTGATTCAGACATAGAGCTTCACAGAATCATTTTCTGGCAGTAAAATGCGCCAAGAAGAGAATGATATTCCTGTATTTAAGAGAACAATGCCAATTCCAAAGGATTCCCTTTTCAAGCTTGGTTCAATGGGAAGCAATTGGATTTAGTACTGACTATTTGTAGCCAGTGTTCTCTGTTTTATTTGCATTTTATGACCATTTTAAATCATTAAATGTAACCTTAAAGACACTGTGAGCTGAAGCTGCTTCCAATGGCATCAATATAGACACAAACTGTTGCAGATGTGAAGAAGGAACAAGGTCCAAGATGCTGAGAATCCTGCACTGCTCCTCTTGTCTCTGTCACCATGAGAAACAGGGCTTGCCAGACCTGAATGTAATGTTCAGACTTCCACCATCAGGTTGCAACTCACTGGTGTGCAGGGTGCCTATATAACCCGATGCATATTTAGATTCTTAGAAACATCTGGAGTCAGCTGGAAATAGTTCTGAGGACATAAACAAAGAGACGACCACTCCCACTAAAGCATCTCAAGGAAGGAAGTTCTGGTCAGAAGGGTATATGCTCACAGAAAAGGCAGAGCAAGCATGTCTGGACAGTAAGGCCTCTATCTCTTATCCCTAACACAAGGAGGAACATGGTTGTTCACATTAGCTGAGATCGAACTTCTGTGTACTTACCTGTTATAGTCCATTATTGCAGGGAACTCACCACAAAAGGATCTTTAGAATTTGGTCACATCTGGAGAATCCCACAGAGACAGCTGACATGAGCTCATGGAAACTCACAGACTCCAGATGAACAGCTAGGGAGCCAACATGGGTCTGACCTAGGCCCTCTGCTTCTGGATGGCAACTGCATAGCTTGGTTTTCTGTGTGGCTCCTAGTAGTGGGACCTAAACCTGTTCCTGATGCATGAACTGGCTCTTTGGAAGCTATTCCCTATGGCAGCATGATTGTCTAGCCTTGATGCAGGGTGGAAGACCTTGGTCCTGCCTCAACTTGATGTGCCATGCTTTGTTGAATTCCATGGAGGCCATAACTCATCTGAGTGGAGAAGGAGGAGGAGTAGATGGAGGGGTAGAGGTGATGTATAGGGAGGGAGAGGGAGGAGAAGAGGGAGTAGAAACAGTGAATGATATGAAAAATGACTCAAAAAAACTATGAAAAAATGAAATCTTGTCACATCAAACACACACAGTCAGCGAACAAGAGAAATGTGTACATATTCAATTTGCTGGCTTTTACTCAATTCAACATCAATGTTATACAGTTCAGGACAGTATGCCTAAACAGTTGTGCCACTTTAAGTGGTCTTCCCACATCAATTTTTTAAAACAATTCCTCAGGGCTTCCCAAACTATTTGAACTCCACATTGAGACTCACTTCTCAGGAGATCCCATGTTGCTCATATAGTCATCTAAGGCTTATAATCACAGCATCATTATCATAAAATGTATTGAAATAAGCAATTTGTAGCTTCACACAACAGCCTTATGACTTTCTCTACAATAATGGAGAACATGTACTCTGAGCCTAGGGAGATGTAGCCATATGGTAAAAAGACAGCAGTTATAAGCCTGCAGCAGGGGCTTTGTGTTTCACTTCCCCATCTGTGTGTATCACTGTGGAACTGGTCACTGTACCACAGAGCACAGTAATATATAGCCTCATCCTCAGGCTGGGCCCCTGTGATGGTGAGGGCAGCCTTGTCTCCAATCAGGGAGCCTGAGAATCTGGCAGGAACATCTGGGGCTCTGTAGGTGGTACCACCTATCAGACCAGTGTGTACTTGGTGAGATTTTTCTTGGACCCAATTGGCATAGTTACTGGTAGTAACAGCCCCAGTTCTTGAGGCACAGGTAAATGTCACTGTCCCTCCAGGAGATGTAGTGAGTGAAGATTCCTGAATTACAGCAGCCTGAGAAATGGTCACTGCAAATAGGTGAGAAATGAGATGTTTAGTAGCAATTCAGAGACAGATATATACTGTCGCATACCCACTCCAGCCTAGAAAGTCCTGCTGACCTGTGCAGTGAGCCAGAAGTGTGATCACAAGAGGAGCCCAGGCCATGCCTCACAGTCCAGGTCTGTTCTTTTCAAGATTGCTCAGCTCAAGGTGGTGCCACAGTGCTTGCTATAACTCCTAACATGGGAGAGGGTGTGCCCGTGAATGCAAATGAACTCCTCCTCTTCCAAGTTAATTATATGTTGTCAGGTGAGAGTTATTGCACTAACACAAGTTACTGATCACACACAGATATGAACAAAGGTCAGGAGCATAATTGCTCAGCTGCTTTTGTTCTTCTAGAGCCAAACATATCTTCTGTCTAGTGTCCTAGACAGTCTTCATCAGGGCTAACCTTGCTCCACCAAGTCTTACCTTACAGAGAGTGAGAATCATTGCAATATGTAGGACAATATAAAGGGATGACTAAAGAGAAATAACTAAAGTGATTGAAAACAGCTCAAAATAAGTAAGGGTAGGATGGGAAAGTGACTTGAAGTTCATCTGTTTCTTCTTCACACTTTTCCACTTCATGGAAGGTGATTGTGTATAGTATAATGAATCTAACTCTGCATCATAAAATTCCCATGATGTCTCATTACAAAAGTACAAGAGATAATTGGTGAATGTAAAAACAATAGCAGACTCTGGCAAGGATGTAAAGCAAATGGATCTCTGATGCACCAGTGAAAGTAGTTATCATTTCAAAAACAGTCCATTTTAGAGATTTTTATAAGTTTTTCATATGGATTATCATGTAGATCAAGTGTGTCCCTGAATTAACTCATGGAAATATTAAATTCTCCAATTCATGTAAAGTTACAAAGAATCCGTTGTACAGCTGTGTAATGATATTCTGCACAGAAACTGGAAAGGAGGAAGTGCACACAAACATACATCTGGGTTTTGGAATTACCCTGTCAGGTATTTGAAGATTCTAAATTTGGTGTGTAAGTTCTGTTTCTGAAATGATGGGATGCAGGTTTAAAGCAACAAAAAAGATGACTGGATCCAAGCTTCTTTAGAAGACTGTATAGGTGTAAATGTAGGGTGATAGGGAGAATCTAAATTATCATTTTGTTAAATAGTATATAAATGATAGTGTATATATACACATAATATGCTTACATACTCAAAAATAAGCATTTTATACAAATTATATGTGGTGTACTTGACAAACTTTGCCTCTAACATGAGTATATATTTTATAAAAATTGAAAGTCAATAATTTTTTTTAAATATAACAATAGTGAAATTCTGAAAAAGATATTGGCACCAATCCCACTTTAAACTTTCTTCAAAAAGATTATTGATTTAAATATGTTTACCTAAATAATCATACAAATCTCATGCCATTTTTGTTCCACGTGATAAATTGAATTATTTTAAGACAATGTCAGTATTTGGAGACAGTATCTGGGCCTAAGGCAGGAAAGGTCTTAATGATGGGCAGAGAAACAAATAAAGGGCTCTTCCCATGAAAGCTAGAGCTATCTTCCTTGTGGAGTAAAGAAAATACTATGTGGAGTGGGAACTCAGAGTTAAGAAGGAAGATGACTGCTGGGTACACCAACAGGAGAAGACTGAGTGTGAACAAAACTTCCAGAACATAGTGATTTGAGAGTCAGAGTTTAACTTGGGTGTGGTCGCAGAAAGGCACTGACACCATCCTGGGACAGCATTTACCTGATGGAAAAATAATGCTTCTAGCCAAGCCTTGATACAGGGATAATTCTATGTGCTTGGGGCCTGAGGTGATACAGAAGTTTCTGTGAAAAAAAGTACAATCAGAGCAGTGGGGAGGTAGAGAGGAGAGTGGGGGGTCATGCAAGGGTCTCAGGACCTGTGACTCACTTTGCTCAGGATGTTAGTAAAGCAAAACATGGACACAGATGTGGTAGTGGTTACAAAATTAGTGACTGTGATGAGCTTGACAGCTAGGAAAAGGGAGTGTCTTATGTAGCCCTTGGGCTTGAAGGAATGCAGTGTGGCCTCTGCTTTGTGATTGATCATGTCTGGCTTCTACTGGTCATGTTAACATTGCTGACCCTAGTAGACACTCATGGTAATGACCTCAGAAAAAATGATGTATGCCCCTGGACTGATTCCAAGTCTCCCTGTGCCTTCGTGGGAATCCCTGGTGTTACTTTTGTTATAGGACAAGCTTTTATTTCTTTTTAGTTGTTCATGGACTTTTTAAAGCCTAGATGTCTCCTAGGAAGTTTGTCAGTGAAGGAAAGTCAAGGGATATAGAGCAGGGGAACCCAAGTTTTTCTCCTCCTTTTAATTCACTAAAACATTGTAATGAAAATGTATGGGTTGCATTAAGATGAGTGACCAGTAACAATCAGACTCATCCACAGTTTGCATTCTAATTGTAAGCAATACCCTTGTAATGTCTAAGGAATCTTTGGACACAAACAATTGGCTGGGTTCCTCCAGAACCATGAGATAGATTTAAGTCTGTGCGGTCCTCCAGGAGATTTCTGAATGGTCTGGAATTCTCCAGGAAGCAGAGAAGCTGAGCTCCCACTTTGAAGCCACTGCTCTATCTGCCAGTGTGGCAAATGCTGAGTCAGCAAAGCGCTAGGGAACCTGGAAACAGTATGATGATAAATGCAGTAGAGACCAAAGTAGACATTCCCATGAATTACTGGCCAAGCTGGGTGAAGCTGAGTAGGAATTGAGACCTGCTGATGCACATTCCTACCTGTGACTTAAGGGAAGAGCAGGAGGAAGGGCACAGTCCACAGCATGGGGGATACTGCACCTGATCCTTACCATAGGTTATCCCTGCCTCAGGTCTCATTGTATCCTCTCCTCATGCCAGACACAGAGCCTTTCCTATCAGTGTGTTTCCATCCCTAATAGCCTCTGCTCCTCCCTTAGCCTTAGTGCTAATGTTCATCTCTCACACACTTAGGATGGAGGTTTGTTTATGTCCTGGGAGCCCTCTAGAGGAAGTGCCTGCTGAGCAAGGGGGAGGTGTGCTTAAGGGGGTCTTCCAAGCTGCAGAAGATGCAGAGGCTGATTCCTAATGAGTGAGGTAGTAATGGCATCTCCTCTATGTGTTGCACCCAGCCAATTATGAGCCAATTATGAGCCACTAGGAAGGAGTGAGACAACACTTATGGATTCCAAAGATTTAATTTAATTAAATAATTCCCATATGCAGGTCACTGATCAATCAGGCCTGCAGGACAAGAACTCCAGAGCTTTGATTATCCTGACAGTCCCAAGCAGGATCAGAAGCAGGGTTTGTTAGCATAAAATTCACAGATATTTGTTACCAAGTTACAATCACAATTTTTACCAATCATTCATTTAGAGATTAGAGACTTCCTTGAGTGTTCCACCATTGTCAATCAATACACAATGCAAGCTTTTCAATCCAATCAGATTCATTTCTTTCTGTTGTTAGGAATACCCAAAATGTTTCTTAGAACTAAAAATGCATAACCGCTATTTCTATGCTTTAAGGAGGAGTTTGATCAGGCATTGGGAAGTTCTAGGCTGCCCTAGGGTTTGGGAACCTGTACTTTATTTTATCCTGAAGGTAAAATCCAGTCTGAAGGCAAAATGGCAATACTTAGACCTACGTGCTTTTGCCTGCTCACTGCCTATGCCAAAGCTAATTTGAGTAAATGGCCCTTCGTTTTCTGTGAACACTGACTGCCCCACAGTGCCCTCTGCTGGTTACAAGGCCCACAGTCACCAGGGACAAGAGGCTATCTTCATTTTGTAGAGGACCTTTTGAAGCAACCATAGATAGACTGCTTTCTAGGTTGTGTGATTCTGGTAAGTTGTGTTATTCTCACCACCAAGAGTGCTCCTCCTTATGAGCACTTTCTGCTGTGGGTTATGTAAACAAAAGATGTTAATTGTCTTCCACGACCAGGTCCTCAGCTCTCAGAGCTGTTACACTGTTAGATGCAGAGCCAGGGAGGTCCTGTGCTCTGTGCTGTAGATTCCCCCTGGGTGGAAGCAGCTGCTGTAACCCTGTAATGGGCCATGAGCAGCTATACAGGGGCCAGTGAAATTCAGCTCTTGAGTCTCTGAGACTTCGGTGAAGGGTCACAGTCCCTTCTGGTGGCCTCATTGTTTACAGGGTGGGAGGGTTCACTCTTTGAACCACTGTTTATTTTATCAGGCAGCTCTAAAATTCTTTCCCAAGCTGACTTGTAATCATCTCCTTCCCTTCTTTAATTTTTATAGTTTACTTTTGAGAAGTTATTCCCAAATTTTTAGATTGGATATTTTAGCTACATGTAAAAGAACCTTGATTTAGAGAAATTTACATGTGGCTCTTTTGCCAGAGACTTTTTCAGTACATTCAAGTACATTCATTCATCATATCCTCAGTTAGTGACTAATAGTTGGAAATGTGCAATCAATATAATGATGACCGGGTTTCCTCAGCTAGGTTTATTCTCATGTCTGTGTGTGTACAATTTGTTTAATTGGTGTTTATTTTGAATCATTCCATGTTGCTGAAATTATCAGCTCTAAAAGGATTGTGGAGTGTTTAGGTTCTCTTTTGTAACAAATCATCACCCACAAATAGGGTTACCTTTACATCTTTCCTATTTCTAGCCCTCATATTCCTTTCTCTTATTGCTTTAACTGAGACTTCAGGCAATAAATTGAATAGACGTGGTTGTGTGGACACCCTGGTCTTCTTGATCTTAGTGGGAATGCTTTGCATTTTCACCCATTTAAAAAGATGCTGACTATAGGCAGGTTTTTAGTTTGTTTGTTTGTTTGTTTTGTTTTGCTTTTTGTTTTGTGGAGTTATACTCCCTTCATCACTAGGTTCCCCACAACCTTTTGAAATTTCTAATGTTGGTCCTGCCTCAATACATAACTTGTGTGACAACTAACATGTGCTGATTACTTAACCATGGGGAGGATGTGAGAACATTAGACT